CCTGCTGATGGATACTCGCAATCCTCGAGCAGTTAGAGAACGTCGCTGTCAGGGTTAAAACAAAGAAAAATGCCTGGCACCTGATTTTCTTCACTGAAGAATTGCATCTGCTTAGCTTTTGGGGAGCGATATGGTTTAGGCATTCAGAATCATAGAATCATAGAATGGCTTGGGTTGGAAGGGACCTCAAAGGTCATCTAGTTCCACCCCTGCCATGTTATGAGTCAAGGGACACTGAGGCGGATCTACGTAACACAGCCTAAAGAGAAGCTCTGCATACAACAACTATGTATTCACACAGCAGCACACGATCACAACAGATCAAACCCTGCTTCACTTCGCGGGAAGGAAAATTCAGAAATAGCCTAAAGAGAAGCTCTGCATACAACAACTACGTATTCACACGGCAGCACACGATCTCAACAGATCAAACCCTGCTTCACTTAGCGGGAAGGAAAATTCAGAAACTCAGAAAAAAAGAGGAAAATTAACCCTGAGCAGATGTCCCCCATGAGCAGAGCCATCTCAGGTTTGCCTGCAGAAGACCTTATTCCGTGTGCTGTACCTGCAGGGAAGCTAGGGCTAAAGGGTTTGCTGGTGATGGATGGATTACTCCCACGGGGTTTTAGGAAATGCCGAGATGGGCTGCGCGTCGCTCCCCTAGGGCAGCGCGCAAGGCGGAGGGAAGGTACCTCACGATGAAGTCCGAGTGCGCGCTCTGCATGATCTGCTTCTCTGAGCGGATGTGCTCCTGCTGCCTCGTGTCCACAATGTGACGTTTCTTCAGTATTTTCATGGCAAACGTCTTCGATTCTTCGCTCTTCAACTGGACCTTGGGTAAAGCAGGCAAACGCAATGGTTAGAAACGGGGCGCATCCCCCCGCCACGCTCTGACCGTCCAACTGCATGGGCACCCAGCAATCCCACCACCCCACCTTCAAACAAACCTACCGCCCTACCTTCAAATAATTCCTCTCGCTTCTCCAGTCATTAGCTTCACTTCGATACGAACCAGCTTTCTAAATACCCGGCCTGTTGCTAAACTGAAAAGCCGTTTCTAAAACTCCCTGTGTTCTAGGGAAAACCCAACCGTCAGCGTCACTCTCAGGTCAGAAGACGCTGCTGGCTAGCGTACCACTTTCACAAAGCCTTTTTCTACAGCTAGTAAGAAACGCAGCGGCGCTGGCAGGGAAATGCAGCCCTTGGATGTTTGGAGAGGATGAGCAGAGCTGGCTTTTCAACGGCACTGCTTGGTCACGTCTTTACTTTTAACCTTAAGCCTCAGCAACCTATTTTTAGCCTGATTTCCCGAGAGGAGGTTGTTTGCTTGCTCGCCGGCATTACCCTGGCAACTTGTGAACCCTGAGCCATCCCCAGCCCGTTCCGAGGGACCGGTATCCATCCCGAAGACAGCTGGCACGCAGCCACCCGTTCCGTCTTGGCCATCCCGCCCCTTAGTCACCACCAAACGAGAAAGGAACCTCGCAGTTGACCTGCCAGGCCTCTTAGTTTGCCAAACTCGCCCAGCAGCTGCTCACGATAATATTGCCAGTTAAACACCTTTTTCCCCTTTATAATAAGAGGTGCCATTGGGCGACTTCTATTTTGGTTTTCTGGGAGGAACTTGGCTTCAGCCAGCGGACGAATGGCTTGTCTGTCATCACACCCCATCAGAAATCCAGCTTGCCTTTTAGTTGAGGAGACAACATTCACGCCATCGCCATTGCTTTAATACAATAGCTATTTTTCTGTTTTCTTGGTAACAGAAAAGCGGGCTGAGATGAGACATGGTACCTTCCACGCTTTCCCCTGGCTGCGCGCCGTAACCTCGGACGAGTTTCCTCTGCATTTGATTTGTTCACGTGGTGGGTCAGGTCGCAGGGAAAATGCGAGGGGGAACAGTATCCTCAGCGCCCCGTCTTTGTCAGAAATCAAACCGGTACTCGGCGACACATAAATGTCCACAAAGACATGTACAGCTTAAGGAAATCAAACCCAAAAGGCTGATTCTCAGCTGGCAAAGAGATTTCCACCACCACCACAAATAATCCAGAAATAAACCCTAATAAATGAGGGTCCACCCCTTTAAAGCCAAGGGTACGTCTATATGTATGCACGTATTTCTCTATCTGTTCTAAAACCACTTGGGGTTTCGGTCCCCAGATTTGTGGCTTCTTATTTTCCCCGCAGCATTTCCAAGCCCACATGGAACTCTCCTTTCTCCAAAGGGGCCGGTCAGTATTTCACACTGCGATGCGTAACGATTAGCTTTGCACGAAGCCCGTGTTTGCCATTTAATCTTCGGGGAGACAGGGTACAAAGACCTAAACAATCCACATCAAATAAAGAAAAACATTTTTTTTTTTCCTCATCTTTGCAGTAGAGCCGCCCGGTTATTTATTGAACTGGTGCTACACGGCGCTGCCTTCGCTGTGTGGTTTGACCACAGCTCAAGGCAGAAAGAAATCCTGCATTTATGGCAGACTGAAAGCAATAAAAACATTTTTTTTTTTTTTGGTTTGGGGTTAGGGTTTTTTTTTTGGTGGTTGTTGTTTCATTTTGAATAAATGGCATATGGACTTTAGTTCAACTGTTTGAAGTGAATGATTTGATATTATCCAATTTAAAGGAAACCAGGCTGTTCCAGAGGGGGAGGGAGAGAGGTGAGGTGACACGCAGGGAACGAAGACATGATGAAAGTGAAGGTAAAATCTGGGCTGAGCAAAATTTCCTAAAACTTGCAAAAAAAAAAAAAATAATCAATTAAGGTTTAGTATGACTAAGCATATCCTTCTGGAGAACTTAGCCCTCTTGCTTCTGACGGCAATCCAGACCGCGTGGTTTCCCACCAGACCTGTCCATCTGGTGACGGACAAGCGCAATCAGCTGCCACGTAAACGAGTTCAAACAAAAGTCTGTGCAAATCCCCATTAGATATTACCGATCGGATATTGGGTTTCTTTCAGCCTCTGTTTTTCTGAAGGTTAGGCTGTCCACAAAGAATAATGACCAGTGGAACCAAGAAAGTAGCTCCAGTAGCAAATTTGAACACTTTGGGGTGAATTTGGACATGAAACATTGGGAAAAAAAAAAAAAAGAAAAAAATTTAAAAAAAGAGAAAAGGTATTTAACACTCTCAACTTGAAAAATAAATCCCTATTTTCCTAATGTTAATCTGTAGACATCAGTGTTAAAAATAAACCCAACAACCTGGTGGAGGCTCAAATGAATAAATTCCAATATTTTAAATAAAGCATCATATGAATAAATTCCCACGTGTCCCTTTCTGGTATTATCCTTTTAATACTATGGATTCTGACCATCTAATTTTTGTGCCTTTCATTGAAAAGGCCATTCCTTTTATTAATTACTGTTTTTTTCAGAGATGCCTGGAAACATGATGGAGAGTCTGGGGAAGAAACCTGTTTTCCTCTATGAACTCGCACAGCTTCATCGTAAATACGGGAAAGGAAATTACTACGAGGAAGGAGGCAGCAGTGGTTTGATTTGGTGTTTGATACCGCTACCACTGCCACAAATGCTGAAATACAGAACAAGCTACGAGTAGCTAACACAAGACTCTCACCTAATGCCACAGGAGAAGTTGGATCCATTTCCCATTCCCACTCCTGTCGTGCTTCGTAATGCAAACGATTTGCGAGAGTTTGAGAGCGCGGGGGGGATTAATTTGCGTGAAATGCGCTGATGCACCAAAACAAGCCACTGAGGTACGAAAAGCTAAGGCTTACAGTTTGGATCACCTGCCTGTCCACCTGGAAAATGGATCCTGCCAACTTCTCCTCCTTCTTCAACGTGCCCGAGTCCTCCCCTTGCTTCGGCGTTTCTGCCAAATGCCGTAACTATTTTTACGATGTAAAGCTGGGGAGCTCCAGGTCATTTCTATTATTCTTACAAACAGTAATTTATAATATTAAGCAGATGACAGTTAATAGAAAAAAACCCCAACAAAACCCAAACCCGTGTCTGATCCCGATCTCATTTCAAAAGCAGAAAAGAAAATATCCAGGAGTCACTTGGACTTTTTAATTATAAAAAAAAAAAAAGGATTAATGTTCAGAAGATGAGAACGGGCTGCTGAGAACACCCTGTTCTCCAGTTATAACGAGAAAAACAGCACTGGGAGCCACAGAAGCCACAAGGATTTTGACTCTCGGCTCAGAAGGAGCGGGGTATGTCGCATAGGAGGCTCAGCCTCCCAAAGAAACCCACCACAAAAATCTCCTAAATGCTTTGGAAAAGGGAAAAGCACGCAGTTTTCCAAGGCAGGCAGACTGCAAAGGAGTCAGTCATCCTTGCCGCAGAGCTCAGGAGATTGGCTTTCGCTCGCTCGGAAGCAACATCTTGTATTTCAAAGGCCCCGGGACTATTGATTTGGTGGAGACCTGCCGGAGCCTTGGTTTCCACTGCTCTTCTCCGGCAGCAGATGAGCCACTAAGAGGACTGACACACGGTAGCCACCAACCTCCACCTCTCTCAACCTTCTTTTGGCAAGTTAAAAGAATTTCTGGTGCCTTCCCTCCTCCTTTTTTTCACTCCTCTCCTCACACTGACCTTCCCCAGTCATTGCCCTTTCCCCAGCGCACACAATCTCCAAACCGATCTCTCCTGGAAATTGAGTGCACTGATGGTAAGAGCAAACACTAAGGCAACAGAAAGTGTCCACATTCAATGATAACAGCAAGTTGTGGATCTGCTGAAAGGCTTGCTGGCAGGAAAAAAGCAGAAATAAAATTTGCAACACCGAGTAGACTCCTTCCCTTTCTCGTCACCTTCACGCACGTGTTTCAGCTTTCCGTTTTCTGTCCATCTCATCGCCGAGCTCTGGCACGTGGGCCGTGCCCGCCATTCTGTCTTCACTTCGCACGGACTTAATCGCAAAAGGCGAAGCAGGCTGAACAGCTAACCTCCACCGAGAACAGACCCACGCCGTCCTTTCTACCGCAATCATCCCCAAACCAGAGAATCCTTGTAAAGCTGTAGTTACTACTCCTGGTCAGACTCCCTCCTGGTGAATCTGCCTGAGCTCTTCCCCTCTCTGGTAGAAATGAACCTCTGGAGAAGAAGAATATGGAGCAGGAATACATTTTCTCTCCGAAAGACAAGAAAACACAATAGGGAGCGTAGTTAAATAAAGCTCAAACACCACCTTAAAGAGGTGATGTCTGAAACTGGAGAGAGGAGGGCTAAAAGTGATTGGATTAGGTCGTTCTGCAGGATTCTTATCCGGGAAATGAACTGCATAACAGCGATACAAAAACATAACGGCAGACGTGCTGTTTATAACTAAACCTGCCAATTGTAGAAGCAAAATAGAGTAAGAAATGGCTGTTTTTATTTTGCATATGTATGTATTTTGCATATGTATTTTTTGCGTACGTATATGCAAAAATCTATATGGCATATATATTTATATGCATCTATAAAATAAATAAAACATTAAAATACACATACATATATATTTTGCAAAGTATGCTGGCCCAAGCACTGCGGTGACGGGATGTCACACTCAGAGTTGGAGCCGTGGCTGCATCCTCACCCAGCGGGTACTGCCTGGACAGGGCTCCAGGAGAAGAGTCAGGCTCCTCCATCTTTTAGCCTCTTCCCACCACCTGAGCTCACAGAGACCGCCAACCTGATGAAGAGGCAGCTAATCCCACCCTCCACGCGCGACACTCTTCCAGACCTCTGAAGCAAGGAAGCCTCGCAACATCGGAGCAGGACAGAAGTTGAAGGAAGCAGCTTTCTTCTGTGCCAGCCCCAAAGCTGCCCTCTCCCCACATGTCTCGTGGTCGCGCGTCCACTCGGTGTCAG